CCCCAAAACCCCAAAACCCCACAATACTAATATTAATATATAAGAGAAATAAGTAAGTTATGAAATCAAGTAGAACTTGTATAAATTTATATGATTAATCAAATCATTAGTCTTCTTATTTTTAGTTTTCTTGCTGTAACAATGCTACATCAGCACCTAAATGGCTAATTCTTTTCTGTGCCTTGGTTAATTTCTTCTCTTCAACTTCCAAAGCTTTACTAATGATAGTCTTCACTAGCTCGGGGGTTGGGGAAAATTAAAAGAATAATCTCATCATCAATTAACCCTCTCCTAAATACTGAGAGCTCATTCCAGAGCCATGATGATTATTGCTGTTTTTTCCTCTTGATTTTTTGAAACTTCGAGAATTACCGTGATGAGATGAGGCCCTAGCTCGAGTAGTATTTAAGTTTTGAGAAATTTGCTGATGAATTGCAGTTTAAATGTTAGCTGAAAGCTTATTAGGCTATGATTGCTTAACTGAAGTATTATTGATAGCCTAAGGCTGCTGAATTGGATTTTTTTTGTCAGTCTTTTGCTGGCTACTTTCTTTAGCAGGTATGTTACTATTTGGTAGATGTTACTACTGAATCGATTATATTTAAATTGGTTCTTTTATTACTGAATCCTTCCTGAGTTATAAGCTCTGCTCTCCAGCTTGTATTTAGGTGTTTATGTTGCTTACATTGCTATAAACTTGCTCTTAAAATTTGTTAAGTCCGAGTTTTTTGTCAAGTTTCTTAATGTCTGCAGTATACTTTTGCATTAGATCATTTTCTAAAGTCCAGCCTTTTGCAGAAAAATACTTGAAGTTATATTTGTACTTTTGTCTTTAAAAGTACATTTCAATATAATGATCTCTAACCTATTCTGTTAGCATAGTCAATTTCTTAAGCTTCAACTTGCTTCCTTTGCTATTTGATTTCAGATACTTCTTTTATAATTTGTCTTTTTATAAATTCCAACTCCTTTTCAATAGTTAAATACGGTATGAGTCTAAGAGCCTTTGATTTCTAAAGAAAGTTTGAATCTTTATGATTCTTTAGTTGAGCAGGATAAAAGCTCTAGTAAGTGCAAAACTCTCGGAAGTATCTGTAAGGAATTGCATAATGACAGTCTTACTTCTTTATTCAAGATTATCAATACTAAGTTCAGAATACACTGTAAATGAGCTAGTTTATGTTAATATACTTAAGTCTTACTTTTATATTTGTTTTTTTATTCTATCTTTTCTTTGAGTAGAAAATTTTTTGAGATATATTCTGAATTTAAAAACAACCTGCCTTACACACTTCCGAACAAATTTCTAAAATCAATAAATAATAATCATAATTTATACCAAATGCTCCCTCTACTAAACTTTTAAGTCATAGTTTTCTTTCAGTTTAAAGATAGTCCTAGAAAGATTCTCTAAAATAAGCCATTCCCTAACTTTCGACATCTTTTCATATTTTTCTCTAAAATTTTTCTCAAGTTCGCCTCTCTAATAAACATCAAATTCATAAAAGTACTTTGATTTTAAGGATGTTCCATTTATTTAGCAGAAATATCTTTCTCTTAAGCTCCTATGTCTAGAAATCTTTATTTCTTTCGAGTACTTCTTATATCCTCGCCTAGTTTGTATCACTCTTAACCTTCAACTGTTCTTTTTATAAAGTAGTCCAATCATTGAGCACAGATTTATTTCTAATAATGTAGTCCTCCTCCTTACCTCTAACTGACTTTTTATTCCTCTTTTTCCTTAACTCCTCTATAATGTTGTTGAAATCTTCAAGCTGATTTGGATCTTCAGAGATATCCTTAATCTTCTTAAGTATCTCTAGTTTGAACTTCTGTTACTTCTTGGATTAGGAGCCTTGATTCACAAAGACATTAGGATTTTAGGACACAGCTATACCCTAATCTATTGATCTCTCCTTGAATTCCTCTTTAGGAAAGACAACTTTTAAAGTGAAATTGCACCCAAAATCAGAGTAGAGACCAATATAGGCATACATTTGCTGATAATAAGGATCAACTGAATCAAGTGAAATAATTTTAGGCCTATTTTGTACTTTTTCACTATTACTAGCATTTGGCAGTTTTGATTTTCTTGATATACATACCTTTAAATCGGTCTTGCTATAATTTTCATAATCAAAGTAAAGCTTCAATGGAGGTACCTTTCCAGCGATTTGTACTTTGAGAAATTAGGATGTACCTTCAATAACTTCTAAATTTGTTCTCTCATTTCGTTCCAGTTTGATGTGCATTTCATCACCTGCACACATTATTTTGCTAACACGGTACATCAATGTTTTGACTTGTTTAGATGCTGACTAAATTAAGACAGAGCAATCTTGTTTTGTTAAATTCTTCTTACTATTATAATTTGAAACTTTCTAAGCGCTATTTGATTCCACATCACCTCCATAATTGATATAGTCATTAATATAGTCGAGCTTATTAATTCTTTATAATATTTCACTGTTCTCATTCTTAGTGTACTAGGAAATATTACTCTTTACTTAATAATGCTGAATAATGCTTTAGTCTATTCTTTATGATTGACTCTAAGGTGAATGATTTATTTCAGGTAGATAAGCTGCACTTTGTAGTTGACTTTTCTTTTGCAGAACTGAAGTTTCTAGGTTAAGACTGTTGTTGCTTTTTAAATTTTCAATGCTTTCATTTTGAGATAGTTTATAGGGCTGAAAGTGATTTCAACTAATTTTAGAGTTCTTAATTTGTATGCTTAAATCTTGATATGGGTTTATCTGAGATAATTTGAGTTTAGATTTAATTTTAGGCATTTCAGCCACTTTTAAACTTATCTGACTATTGCTATTAATTGGATCTAGTTTAATCGATCCATTTCTATGACTTTAATTCACCTCAGATATCTCAATTTAACTTCGATTTAAGCTGTTTATACTAATTCTCTCATTGCTTAGATCATGCACTTTTTTGGTAAAATTCCTACCCTTTTGAGGAGTCTTAAATTTATTTCTAATATCTGGCATTATTTCCTTATTGCCTGTAGCAACTTTGCTGCCAGACTCCAATACATAACTGACATTAGCATTTTTGCTTCTTCACATGGTATTTGACCTGTAATTTTAATACTTATCATTTAACCTCATTGATTCATTAACATTCTCATCTAACTAAATGTGCTGATCTTCATTTGTGTTTATTTTATCATCTAACTATTATGACTCGAATGAGTTATTGAACTTTTCCTTAATCTTTTTGAGGGCTTCTTTGTTTTTAATAGTTGTTTTTATATTTATTAAGTATCTACTGGCCGATGGACTCTACTCATCTTGAATTAAGATAATTAATAGCATTTTAAAAGCTTACTCTTGATAAGAGGACTCTTAGTTATTACAATCTCTGGCTTTTTCCTTTTTTAACTCATTTTTAATAAAGCAAATTTACTATCCTTAAATTATATTAAAAAAATGAATTAATAATAAATTCCCCTCCGATCTCAGCTCTAACTAAGCAAAAAGGGGTTTTGGGGTTTTGGGGTTTTGGGG